GCTTCGGGAACCGAAATTAAACAAATAAAATCTAGCATTTTTTAGAGCATACACATTATATTTTTGAATACATAAATAAGAAATTAAACAAACAGTACGGTGCAAGTAACACAAAATTCACCACATTTACATATACTTATTAAGTTTTTGCAGCGTGTCAAAAAGTTAATAAAGGTATTTTTAGACTGACTTCTGACTACACTGGGATCCTAACGTACAGAGCGCGACATACTGTACACTCTACGAACATCTGAGATTAAAGTTTTTATCAACTTTTGTACGTACTTAATCTAGTGTCGCATTAATACTTTTTAAGCATCTTTAGTTTGGATGTATTTGATCAAGTCGACGACGCGATTCGAGTAACCATACTCGTTGTCGTACCACGAGATCAATTTTACGAAGTTGTTGTTCAGAGAAATTCCGGCGGCGGCATCAAAAACAGAGCTGTGCGTGTCGGAGACGAAGTCAGACGATACTACCTGTTCATCAGTGTATCCCAAGATTCCCTTAAGAGGTCCTTCTGCTGCTTCCTTGATCTGAACAGCGAAGACGTTTATTGTAATGTAGTACATTATTAACACTAAATATTGATATTATCTCTACAATACTTGTATTATTTGGGGACTTGGTCGTTTTAAAAGCACAACTAGACTGAGTGGTCGAGAATTTGAAAGTGTAAATGAAATCTCTAATACCCTTATAACCCGGCACTTCAGTGACTTATTCTTTAGATATCTGGAAAGTTAAGCTTCATTATCTATAACCCCCGTACTTAAACTGGTAGTATTGACTGCAATGTTAGGAAACTTTGAAAAGTAGAAATTATTGGTAAAACAGTGCCCACTCAGAATATTTTCAAACAGAAAACTTTTCAAGGCTTTATTTGTGTTTTTCAGAATAAATAATATTTCAACGATGGAAAGCATCTATAAAATTACTTATTTCCATGGACCCATTTCAACTGTGAATCTAATTTTAAAATGCGATTGTATTTTCAATATGTGTGCCTTATTTCATTACTTTAAAACTCGCGCTGACTGCGACACAAAATAAGCAATAAATAAATATTCTAGGAAAAACATGAAAAATTTAGACATCATATATATCTCGTCACTTGTGAGATTATTGCAATTTTGCGTCGTATTATTATGAGACTAGAGCACTAGCCCCTATAATTATATACAGGGTGATTCAAAATTGGCGTCATTCCTTTTAAGGGGTGATAGAGGCTCCCTGGGGGAGTACGAGAAAAATATTGAAATTTCTAGTAGATATTAACAGTTGAAGATCGAATATCAACTTTGTTATTAAGCATTATTTTGAAATTGTTCCATGTTTAATTGGTAGCATATTGGAATACTTAAGCATTCAAAAAGAAAAATTACGCTTTGCTTCAAATTACGAAAATTTTTGATATAAAAAAAGTTCCCTTCTACAATTTTTTGATGAAAAGGCACAGCGGCAATGATGTTTTTTGTCATTAACAGATAGTTACAGGTGGATAGCCCTTGTCAATAATAACAA